TTTATTTTACACTATAAATAGTCTAGTTTTATTATTTTATCATTATCCAGTTTTAGAAAAATGGGAGAACAACAATTTGGGCGATTGTGCTGACACTATCTAGGGATTTTCTTCTACTCCTTCATTTTGGTAAACCCTTTTATGATCCATAAACATTATTTGATGATGTTTTGTTCTATGAGTAGCTAAGTTCCCTTATTCTAGGGTTGTAGCTACGATTAATGGTGTAATAATATTTGTTTCTAGCATGAAATAGGTTTACTTGTGATTTATGCTTACATTCTTATTTAACTATTTTAATGACTGATCAACATTAAAATAAACTCATAGTCCGCTCTTGAATTCGGAAGATGAATAGAGGGATAGAACAAATAATGTGAGAAGCGTGTTCATTCTAGGGTAAAGTTTAGAGTGTTTCGTATATAGGATAGTCTTATACCTTTATACCGCGCTTGATTAATATGCAAGATGATAGCTTAATGCTCCGCTATTGGTTCATGCCTATCCCTGCTCAACGATGTAGTTAGGCTGTCGATGGTGGTAGGCGATTAGAGGTCGGGAGATCATGATCGTAAAATTAACCTTGCAAATCCATAATGAGGTTAACCTGTCGAATGCTAGGATAAATTAATGTTATGCCTAAAATCGGTTTATTCTACAACCCTGGAATATTTCCCCAATTTGTGAAATTTCCTTGTTTGAAATTGTTTAAGTGTAGTAATTAGTTTTGGCGATTGTTCAACTTAGTAGTTACAAACAAATTACTGAATTTTCTGTCGCATAAGTAAATTATTTTAGACACAAATAAACTTATTATTTGTTGATTTGAATTTCTTTGGGTTCGATAATCCGGCTCGAAAGAGTCGTTGTACTACTTGAGTGATCACGTGCACTTGCGTGTGCTTTTGGACGCAACAATAAGCCTACCAATTCAAGATATAACATTAGATTATAGAAACCCTTCACATTCTATCATCATCATTCATGAGTGTTAATTAAGAATGTGCTTTCAATCATAACACAATTATATTCTAAACATGATCATAGTTCTTTCATTGAGATCACACACATATACTTCACATCATAATAATACATAGATCCTTCATGAAATTGCCTTCCAAGGCTATACATCAATCACAACCCAAACATCTAATATACTATAATAGATAAGGGAACTAACATGATTCAATAACTAATTCAATATAAACATAAACAATTCAACATACTTTCAAGATTCAATCAATTCCCAATCACAAATCACAACTTAGGATTTTGGGGAAAACATGGGTTCATAGAAGAAATTGACCATAATTCATCATATAAAACCTTTTGAAAACGATTTGGAATTGAACCCATGCATAGATTGAAAACTAGGGTTTTTGGGGAAATTTGGAGACTTGAAAACATCTTTGAAGTTGGCTCCTTGAAAGAAACTAAGTCCAAGATGAAGACTACCATACCTTTAGGGAAGAATTCCACACGAAATTGAAGAAGAGAGCTGCTCCTTGACCCCTAGACTTGACCTTGAACTTGCTCTTCAATGGAGTTTCTAGAGAGAACCTTTGGAGAGGTGGGTTTCTAATTTGTGTTTTGAATAAATGAATTGGAAAAGGAGTTTAATACTTTAAAAACCCTTAAAATACATTAATAAATCAATTATAATTGTCCCCCAACTAAACTAACTCAAAAAGGAATTTATTAAAACACCCCCACATTAGCCGAACCTAAGGCAGTCTACAGGTGTGACCAACGACCCCTGACCTACGGACCGTAGGTGGGGTGACGCCTAGTCCTTCTGGTCTGTGGTTTGGGTTTGAGGGTCACCCTTTGGATCCTTGACCTACGGAGGCCATCCACGGGGCGTGGATGGACCTATGAGGCGTAGGTCCCCATCCGTAGGTCACACCAATTTGGAAGCTTTTTGGTTTTTTTGGGGTCTTGGGGGTTAGGCTTTAGGGTCCTCCTCAAGGACCCCTTGGGTGGTCCTTGGGGAGTCGTACCTTGATGTTTACCCCCTAAACCCCTCAACCTAAGCTCGATAAGACATTCTATCACATGAAATCTCATAACAAACTCAAACGCACACTCGTTAGGCTCTAGTTTCACTTACTAGTTTTCCGGGTCGTTACATGATATGATCAATTTTTTAGGGAAAAAAAGGCAACAATCAAAAATTCAAACTAATCAAAATAATATTTGTGTTTCAAAATCGCAACAATTATAAAATAATAAATAAAAACTCACATCTACAACAATTAAAAATAGAATGATTGCGTTTCAGAATCGCAATAACTATAGAAAAATATTTTTTTTGTTAGAAAGACCCACAATCTTTCAACAAATTTGGCATTTCGAATGGATAACACCATATATTCATGAATAAAACAATATACCAAAATAAATCCTCTAAACTAACATAATATTGGAAGGGGACAACAAATAATTGAGTCGTGCAACCCATAATCCTATTATGTCCATAATCTTCTAAACCTTACCTATGCATATAATAACCCATCCTCCTGTTGTTTGAAGTACAAGATGCTATTGACATGTTATGTTCTTCCATCCACTAAACTCTCCTCCTGAATGAAAAGGTGGACTAGTTTTGATCAACAGTCAATTTCATCTGATGATGATGTTTTGAACCATGTTTTTGCTTCACTTGTAAGAGAGTTTACAAACATGTTAAGTTTTAACATTTTATCAGATAGTAATGTACACCTATTTGTTCAGCATAAATTTCCATAAAAAATTTGAAGTGTTGGAGAGAATTGCTCTCCAAAGGATTATATAATAGCCCTTGACTCTTGAGATCTCTTTGTTTGAGTCCTGCAAAGAAAGCAATGGTATTTTGGGTCTTTTAGCTTCTGACTCAATTGTTGTGATCTTACAAAGATTAATTCAAGAAGTGATATTCAAACAGTGGTCCCAAAAAATCCTTTATTTTTTCTCTTTTGGACTATTTATAGTTTCCTAAAATTTGACCCAAAATTCAATGCATGGCCAACTCGAAGACATTAGTCGGGCTCACTAAACATGTCCGGCGGATCGCCGTTTGTTCCTCTGCTCGCCCTTCATTTCCTTCAGGCTTCAGGTGTTTGAAACTCAATTGACGGACTCGATTGAGTCTTCCTTTCACATTCAGCGGATCGTCGATTACCACCTTGTTCTCCTTTTAAGATTTCACTTTAACTCACAGTTTTTTCACCTACAACGATAGTCTTCTAGTTTGTCCTTTCAGCTTCGATAAGTCGCCGTTTCCTCTTTTAGTTCGTCGACCTGCCTTGAATATTTTCAATTGTGAGCACTGTCACTTTGGATGAGGTCAAGCCACTTGGGCGATCCACCATTTTGGTTAGGCGACCACCAATTGGAAATTTATACTCCTTTCAATATTTTTGACCTCTTTTTCATGTATTCGTATGTCTCTTCCCTTAGCTTTCGTTGATGCAAAACATCACAAATATCATCAGAATCTGACATAAATAGGCATTGAGGACACTAAATATTGAACTAATTAAAAGGCTTCAAATGAGTGTAAATCTACCACTCATCACACTACACTAATACAAATGAAGAGTTCTTTCATTTTGGTGGGTTGGGTGAGTTTAAAATAGAAAAGGGTTGTTGTTTTTAAAAAAAATTGGTAAAAAAGTAAATAAAACCGGGTGAACTATTGAGATGAAGCCATATGCTTATTCGTTAGTTTTAAGGGTATATACAACCCAAAAGATTGACGGTAAGTGTATATATAACCTTAAAACATAACAAAGGGTTTTTAGATATCATTTACGATAGTTCGGGGGTGTATTTGTCCTTTTACCATTCATTTAAACACTTCTCATTTTGAAGATTAAGAAATATCTTAATTTTTTTTTTCAAATTAAAGTAGGATAAACATTTGCTAATAAAAACTGTTATTAGGAAAAGAATTTGTTCAAAAAGAATATAAATAATATATTTATTTTGAAGAAAGGACATTTTTGACCAATTAAGTTACAATAAGAATATTTTTGGACCAAATTATTAACGGCAATGACATTTTTGGACCAAATCACAAAGAAAAGACATTTTTATTCATTTCACATAGTCTAAAAACATTTTTAACCCTTTAGACTCATGCTCAGGTGAATAAATTGTCCTTATCATATTAAAAGATTATATCAAAGAATAACTAATTATTACTATTATTGATTTCTAGATTAGTAAATCTTTATAAAATATGTTTGTTTGAAAGTCTAGAGTAGTACAAATATTTATATATAAAAAATATGGAGATACGTGATTTATCAATGCAACGTCATATGATATAAATTATGATTTACTCATTTGATAATATTATATAAAAATATGAATTTCTTAAAATAATTTGCACAAATTATAATTTTTTCCACAAATTATAGAATTTTTATAATTTCGAGAATGAAGACAATTTAAAATATTTAAATTATGTGTCTAAATAAAATTTAAAATTTGAATCAAGGTGATTTGAAATGATATGCAAAAGTAGGGTTGCTTATTGGATATATCAGACGGATAATCATGCTGAACAGGTTGACTTATCCGATATCGACTTTTAAACTTACTAATCCGCTAGACAATCAATAAGTTATCGGTTGGTTTGGTACCGAGTTAGTAAATAATGGGCGATTATTGAGTGGTGTATTGATTCAATCATTTCATGTGTATTTATTTGGTTCACCCATATATTGATCCCAAATCAAACTAAATATTTTTTTTTAGTTCTATCTAAGCTAGTAATTCTCTAAATGTAAATGAGAAATATATGAAAGTCTAAATTTTGAAAATGCATACACGTAAGTATTTATTTAACAAATATAGTTACGGTAAAAATATAACTACTATAATCTTAATCAGTTAATGGTTAACGATTTACCCAATAAGAAAATTGAGTAATCCACCACTAACTTTAAAATTTTATTTGTTCACCAAACATTAATCCATAATCCAAATCTTCAATTTTGGGATTGAATTGTCGTTATGGATCGAATTTGAACTGCAAAAAGGAGAAAAGTTGTTTGACTTGTCAAAAGAGGTGGAAATAAGTACTAATTGAGTTTCCAATTAGGATTTTTATAGGAAGAAAAATATGCTGTGTGTGGAGATGGGAGACGACAAGGTGAAGAAGGAGGCGATGGAGTTATTGGGGATGTTCCAAGTGCTTCCTCGTCTCGTCGTCTTCGATCTCGATTACACTCTCTGGCCTTTTTACTGGTATACTTATCCCTTTCTCTTTTCTTCTTTCGCTATTCACCTAATTCTGTTTTTAGGTCAGGCTTGCAAAATATGTGTTCTTTCGGAGTTAATAATTTGTATACCATTTACGATAAATATTATCATCTAAGGCAAATTTGAAGTATCTAGCCAGAATTAATTGGTGATAGTAGAGAGCTTTTAGTTGATGATGTTTGTTGTTAACCGTTCAGGCATGTACAACTGATGAAAGAGAAATACATCACGGGTGGAGCTAAGTGGGGATTCGGACTAACCTCGTAGCTTCCGTAGATTCTGTATCAGAAAATTAAATAAATATATATGTATATCAACTTGTGAACCCTTAACAAAACTGATTGACGGCTCAATGGTAAGGAAGGGGGTGTGGGAATGCTTTCACACACTAGATTTGTGCATTAGAACCCCACTATCAACAAAACTCCTAATCCTGGCCTCGCCTCTGAACCCCGCCTTTGAATACCATGACTGAGAAGACTCATTTTACATATGCTAATATCCAATTCCTTAAGAGGATGAAACCTTTGATATGAAGAGCAGTCAGTTATATAAACATTTCAATGCCAAAAACTATGATGGTGTAGATAAAAGGTCTTAGTGCAGTTCTGTGCTCTCTATTTTGTTTGGAAGCTAGTTACAGAGCTTGGTCCATAAAAGTCTTAGTGCAGTTTTGGCATCTCTATTTTGTTTATACACTAGCTACATAGCTTGGTTGATAAAAAATTGATTAACGGTGAGCATGTTTCCTGTTCTATGGGGGACTTCTTGGTTTTAATTTTTTGAGGTCATTATACTTCTGCAAATAAATACATGTAATAGTTGATAGAAGGATTAAAGTTTTATTACTAATAAGGTTTGATTACTAGTGAAAGACGATTCTCTAATATAAATAAGCAAATACCAATGATAGATGAACGAAAGTTCAGTTAATAAAAGATAGTGGTTTAGTAAACTTAATAGACCAAACGATATCAAAGCCAACAATGGCTTGTGGTGCCATTGGTCGAAATATGAAGGGAGATTATCCATCAGTTCCATGTTACAAATATGGGGATTTGAGAAGTAAGAGATGTTTGAATGATGAGAATTTCGTTTATGTTGAGGTTTGCTTCGAGTTGGCTGATATATAATGGTATTATCCAATACTTTGACTTTGTAAGTGGGATTGCTTGGGGATCTGCTCATTGTTGATTACAAAGGTGGATTCTTGGGACGTATTTCTTAACTTTCTATACTTGTGCTTTTGAGAACCAGAATTATATAAACAACTCTCGAGCTCTTTGTCACTAAAAAATGTTTGAAGTGAAAGTCATTGTCCATAGTACCTCTATGTCTTGACTTGAATAGTTTCCTTACCTCTTTCTTCCTTAAAACGTTACACCATTGTGTCTACTATCAACATTGCTTTTTTTTTGTTGTTGTTTTTGTTAAATTTTGCTTAGACTTTGTTGTCTTATATTTTATCTGTTATCATTTAGTGAATGTCTCTCAAAACAGCAAATGCCATCTTTATATCCTCATGGAAAAGATATATTATATGCCCTGAAGGACAAAGGAGTTAATATTGCTATTGCCTCAAGATCACCGACTCCTGATATAGCAAACACTTTTCTTGATAAGTTGGGGCTATCATCATTGTTTGTAGCAAAGGTGAGATAGTGGAAGTTTTTACACTAATTTTCACCTTTACATTCTTTGGTTCAATCTCATGGCAACTTTATTCTCCATTTTGGTTATTTAATTTCTCTCTTACAACAAATATCTACTTCCTTTTGTAGTGTTGATGGACTTTTGTCAACTCCTCTCTGTTGTTTTAGAAAGAAAAATATAGAAGGAGCAAAAATGTAGAGAAACAAATTAAAAGAGTTACTCCCTTTGTTTCACCTTATGCATCTGTGTGTGACTAGATATGGAGTTTATAATGAAGACTTCTGAATATTGTGATTTTAAACTAAAGCTATGTATAACTCATGGAAAGAACCCACTGAATCTTATGGCCGTAAACGTGCTGTGTCATTCTATAAAGGAGTGTCATTAATGGCACAATGGGATTGTTGGAATTGAAAACATACTAAATATAGTAATATGATTTTCTTTTTAAATAATCTACGGAAGAGGGCCAAAACTACCCTCCAACTATTTGATATAGATCAAAAATACCCTTTAACTATTTTTGGGCTCAAAACTACCCCTCCGTCTAACTATTGGATCACTTCTACCCTCCCTTTTAACAGTCTAATATGTGGCACCCAACGTGTAAATAACAACGCCACATGGACGTCCACCTAAGCACACCAATGTGACTAATCACTACAGAAAAAAGCCTAAATTGAGGGGGTTTATTTTACATACAATGGGGTTAGAAACCCCTGCAGTTTGCTGTAGCAGAGGCTTCAATAACCCCCAGAATTAGGTCTGCCATAATTAAGTTGTGGGGGGTTTTCACTAAGAATGAAATTAGGACTATAAGAGGAGGTCAGGGTTTTTAATAGGTGGGTGGATTAGTCAAATTGGTGTGCTTAGGTGGACATCCGTGTAGCGTTATTATTTACACGATGGGTGTCATGTATTGGTCCATTAAAAGGGAGGGTAGAAGTGATCTAACAGTTAGACGGGAGGGGTAGTTTTGACTTTTAAGCCCAAAAATAGTTAATGGGTATATTTGATCCATTTCGAATAGTTGGAGGGTAGTTTTGGCCCTTTTCTAAACAATCTAAAATGCAAGTAGGACAGATAAATTGAAATGGAGGAAGTATATTAGCACGTCTTCATATGGTATGCTGAAGTTGAGTTGTGCCCCATTTAATTAAGAGTTGTAGTACTGTATGATACATGTACTCGTATGCAGTACATTCTAATAGATGATGTCCTTAGTATGGGCATGTCAGTATGTTTCAACTTTTAGTGGATTTTTAAAAAATATGCATGAAGTACCCACACCCTTATTGTCCCAAGGACTTTGATCTAGTGGGAAGAGTGCAACGTTTAATGTGTGGGTTAGTCACATCTCACGGGTTGGAACTTCGTCGTAGCCAAAAGCCTGGTATTTGGGATAAACCCATTATCCAGCCAGTTTCAAACCAAGTGCTTATCAAAAAAGAAATAACTCACACCCTCCCGTTTGACATTGACACCAAAGTCCAAACAGTATGAAGGATCCATGTAACATAGATAGCACCTAGTTTTGTGGTAAAGCATGTTGCCACAAATGCTGGAAGACTTGGTGGCTCATATTGTAACATGTATCTTTTACTAGGAACATGAAGGACATGATTTCGTTGTTTTGAGTAGGTTTACAAGAATGGAGTCTCCAGTGGCTGGGAATTAGAATGCGCAGAGCTGAAAAAAAACCATGAACTAGAATTTGAAATCTTTAGAAGTAAGAAACTTTTTTAAAGGAAATAAAAAGTATGACATAATGCTCTTACAGCTAATAGTATAAGAATTCTTGCACTGATCGGAGATTAAGCAAATTGCATGGTGAACCAAGTCCTTGTGACAAAAAGAGAGGAGCAAAAGTAAAAGAGATGATCTGCCAATGATATTAGATTAATGCTTTATCTGCAGTACTCTAGCTAAGCTTTGAAGGCAAATCCCAGTAAAATCTCCTACTCCTACAGTGAGTAGTTTTATTATGCCAAAGAGCCCTAAAGAGAAAAAAACTAATGGATCATTAATTAGGTATTAACACTGCGAGTATCTAAATTTATAGGACGATCTTCTCTGAAGTCTGAAACACTTGTTGTCAACTAAAGGAACTCTTTTCAAGGAAAGAATAAACAATGAGTCCGGAACACAATGGAAAATAAATTAAAACAACCTGAATAAATGAAACCAGCTCTAAAGCAATGTTGTGGTAGTGCTGCTACACTTCTTTGCCAACTGTTATGCACTAGTATGGTTCACATTTTCAGGTGATTTTGTCATGTATTGCATTCTCTGCAGATAGGGTTCCTCAGTCCTTGGGGGAGGATCACTTTGAGAACTCTATTTGCAGCTGGTGTTTTAAAGAAAAAATAAAATCATGACTGAGGCAAGATCTTTTTTTTTTCACGGACATAAAGCTGCTGATATATGTTGGTTTCCGTAATCTGAATGCTTAGAGTTGCAGGAGATATTTTCCAGTTGGACACACAAGACCGAACACTTTCAAAAGATCAATAGGAGGACAGGGGTGCCTTATAAGGAGATGCTGTTTTTTGATGATGAGGATCGTAATATAGAGGCGGTAAAATATCTTCATTGTGAATTTGCTCCCAGTTATTATTAGTTGATCTTTCTATTATTTCCAACCTGTTGCCTGAAATATTATTTGTAGTAATGTCATGTAATTTGGAGACTCACATGGTTGTTTTATTCTTGGCAGGTTTCAAAGATGGGTGTGACTAGCGTATTGGTGGACGATGGGGTAAATCTTGAGGCTTTGCGGCAAGGGCTCTCAGAGTTTGCTCAGAATTCATCTTCAGGCAAAAAGAACAAAGAAAAACGATTAACAGATTCATCACAAAGTGAGTGTTAATTGCCGCTAAAAGTACTTATTTAGTGGCAATTAAACTATTCTCGTTAATTAATTTCCCCTAAAGATCATTTTTGGCATAGTGTGAGTTACTGTAATCCAACTGTCACAAGATCCCCAGGCAGTTCAGGATTTGTATTTTTCTACATTTATAAAATTCTTTTATGCCAATAATGAATTGTTTGAATTCTCAACACCCATAACTTGTCTAAGAAAGGTTAATTGAAACAATTTAAAACCTTTTTTGTTCAAAAAGTTTTGAATTACAATAAGTTGACCTCCTGTTAACTGTAGACTTTCGTTAATGATATGTGAATATCAGTACATGATTATATAAGGATTGTTTGGTTTGTGGGGAAAAGGATAATGATCATATACAGGATTATTTTATTTGACGTATGGTTGAACTTTCGATTTCAGGATTAACAATCCCAAGATTATTTATAGGAAAAATTACTTAAATACACAACACTTCTTTACCTATTCTCAATATTTCTCTACTCTTTTACTAAAATATAAAAATCCCTTATTTTCCCCCAATTCAACTTAACCGGATACTTTATTAGTTTAAGTATTTGTCCGTTATTAATTAAAGTATCCGCGCTGCTATATTATGCATCCGCCCGTTAATTAAGTATCCGTGCTGCTAACAACTTAATAATTTAAGTATCCGCGATGCTATATTAAGTATCCATACTGCTATATTATGTATTCGAAAAACACAAAAAAAGGAGATTTTTGGTAATTAATGAAAGAGTAGGGAAAGGAAGTAATTTCTTTCTTATACTATGTCATTTGCCTAATTTTTACTTATTTATACCACAATTGTGGTGTTGTTTTCATATTATACCCATAGTATGTTTGGTTAATCGTTTAAAATCAGTTTATTTTGGAGTATTTGGCCAATTTTTTCAAAAAGATCTTTTTGAAAAAAAAAACTATATTTTTAGCTTTTGAAAAACAGTTTTTGTTACTCTAAAAAAAGACTCCACATTTTAAAAATAAACACCTATACAAAAAAAGGGTTTTCTAGATAGCTGTACAGATAACAAAAAATGGTTGTATGTATATGTAAGTAATTAATCTATAATATTGTATAAATAGTGTATATTGTGTATATGTATATGTAAGTAATTAATCTATAATATTGTATAAATAGTGTATATTGTGTATATAGTCGATAACAGTGTATCACAGATGTATATACATATGCATTTACTCGGATCCCCCTCGAAAATCTCAACCAACACAAATTCCTTCTAAACAGTTCCAAATTTTAGATATGAGTTCCTTGCGATGTTTCTAGTCTTTTGATTTATTATTCACTCGATACGATTCACGTTTGTGACACATCGAATTTTAAAATCAAACTTTGAAGAAGCTTTAAAGGATGAATATGGAGTTTTTCAATTTCGACCAACTCGAATCTTCTCTAAACAATCTCAAATTTTAAGTATGAGCTTCTCTTGATGTTTCGATAGCAAATGAATTTCATACATCGTACTACACTTATGCTTATAGGCTTTCATTGATTGCATGATTCATATATGATTAATATTCTGTCCTAGGAAAACAACAAGTGTAAACTCAATCTGTTTTAAATCATCAACAGACAATATGTCTTTTCATGGTCCTGTAAATCTGAATAGTTCCAACAAGTTTGCAACAATTTTAAGAAGGAAAGAAGAAAACGAAATTGTACTTCATTTGCAATTAAAAGTGGATGTGGTCATTTATCATAATAGTTGATAATTGGGTTATATTAGGTAAGAAATTTTGACTCAACATATATTATGTCTAACTTTCTCAAAATAGCACTTTTCCATTCTAAAAGCTTGGTCAAATAAACTATCTATGTGAGATTACTATTCTAAAATATTTTTAAAAAATTGGGATAAAATATCAAAATTACAATGATACCCCTCTCAATACATTTGATAGTTTAGGTCAAATTGGAAATAAAAATTTATTTAAATTTATCGTGTAAAACCATTGTGTTCCAAACACACGCAAGTGAACGTGATCATACAAGTAATATAAAATTTTAAGTTTAGATATCATACCTACATAAATTTGTCGATTAACTATTTACTAAATTAAATTATTGTTAATTATTTATTCCAGTGGAAAGTCGAAATTATATTTTGAATTAACTAAACTAAAGATAAAAAGAAGTTAACCAATGAACAATTAACCAAGGAAGAACATATTTTTTTTTGTTAACAATGAGATGAAATCGATCTAGATCAATCGATTCACTAGCAATCATGTTGATTAATCACTCGAACTGACTCTTAGTTTTTATTGGATTACTAGTTGGAGGCTGATAATACTTTATTCAGCGTTTTGCTAATAGCTCTATGACAATTCAATTATTCCTAATGCCTATTTTTCTATGATCGTCGATCAATGGTAAAGTGCATGTGAAATATCATCAATATCAACTGCAAGGCTAACATGTACATTCCTATACATGTTAGCTAATTATTTCCCTTTCCCTATAAGAATCACAACCAAACTCTAATTTTTCTTATTACACTTGCAAATTTCCTCTTTTTTAATCTAATTTACGAGTCACAGATAGTATTTGAATGGTATTCAAACAAACAAATAATTAAACTGAAGAAGAAGTAACCACACGAGCCATAGTACGACTATAAATATCTTAGCAAGTCAATTCTAGTTCATACGATAATAATTGCAATTACCATATTTCTAGGTGAGAAATTTAACTCTACGTAGACATGAAGGAATTACAATAAATCATCCAAATAAAAATATCAAAATAAATAAATATGAAGAAGAAAAGATGAACCTAAACTTCTCTTATTCCACGACGGCTTTTAGCTTTTTCTAGGTCAAAAGATATGTTAAAATTGTATTTATGGAATAATAATAATAACAATAGGCTTAAGAAAAAGTCTCAAACAAAATAATTAAGTCCTTAGATGAAAAAATTAGGACCAAAAATGGCTTGCAAGTTGCAATGACACCCGCAGAGTCGCGGGGGGGGGGGGGACGTTGTAAGTAGGGGCGAACCCACATGTTGTCCAGGGGTTCATCTGAATCCCCTCGATAAAAAATTACACTGTATATATAAGGTGAATTTTCTGGATTTATGTGGATATATATTTTGAACCTCCTGAATGACAAGGTGAAGGAGATAGCCCAGCGGCAGCTCCCTTCAATATTAAGCTTGATGTCTAGGGATCGAATCCCTGGGTTAGCGTTTTTTTTTTTTAGTTTTTTACTTTCAGTTTTTTTTTTAATAAAAAGTGCTAAAATGTGGTGTTAAACCCAAAAAATTCAAGGGTCCCATACTCCCATTCCTAAAAGCTAATAACTTTTTCACTTTCTAAATCCCTAAATCACTTTCTTGTTCTTCCCCAACACTCAAAACCCAAATACTAAAATCATCTCCCATAATATTCTATTGTTGATTTGACATATTTTAAAGGGCTAACTTTTTGTTTCACTGTAATCACTTATGTTAGTTTCGGATTTCTTGTAACGAAACTAACTTTTTGTACCTATAAACTATATACTACTACTTCCTTGAATTTTTTTTTGTTGGCTTATTTACACGTTTATACTTTTATTTTTCGAACCCCCTGAATGAAAATCCTGGGTCTGCACCTGGTTGTAAGGCATTCTGCCAAATGCAGCTCTTCTTAATTATTCTTCTTCCTTGTTCTTCAAAATTTTCCACGTAGCCAAATTGTCAATTACATAGTGGATTCAAGTGTTTTTAAAAGTGTTTTCAGGAAAAGTTTCAGGGGTGGAGCGTATCAAAAATACTTCGAAACAAAAGTGAAGACACAAATCCTAGAATTTAGGTTGCAAGTCCCATAGTAAAAACAAAGGTCCGATCCTAGAGGTAAAAACACATACCTTGGGCGTTTATTTTGATTGTTATTGTTTTAAAATATTTTTTTTGCTATAAATCATCTTTATTATTATTATTATTATTATTATTATTATTATTATTATTAATGTTGTCGTTGCTGCCGCCGCTGCTTCTGCTGTTGGCTGCCGCCGCCGCTGCTGCTATTATTATTATTATTATTATTATTATTATTATTACTATTACTATTACTATTACTATTATTATTTCATTATTATTATTATTATTATTATTATTATTATTATTATTATTACTATTATTATTACTATTACTGTTATTATTATTATTACTATACACAAGAATTTTAACATAGTTTCTTAGACTGCATGGTTTAATTATTTTACCCAAGCAAAGGGCCTGTCAAGACGCTAATACATACTTTTATTGAGCCCATGTGTCTGATAGTTCTAACCGGGTATCAGGTGCCCTACTTATCAAACTCTTTTTCGGGCTAAAAACCACGGCCCATCAGATGGAGTCACAAAGATAAAGCCAATAAAAGTAGTACTAGATCCGACTGTACCTCAATCTCAGAACCAAGTCGAGAAGCCATACTAAAATTCTTCTATATTTAAATAAAGTTCAGATCCATTCATGGTCTATATAAGAGAGAAGTTAGTTATCCGGCATAGATATAATTTTTTAGCTGGACATAGTCACGGCTTAGATTGGAGAATTTATAAAAGTAAAAGACAGGAAGAATGAGAAAAGAAAGTACCTTGTTGTTACCAAACCGCACACTTTATTATTCCGGCCAAAATCCGGCAAGCTTACAAAACTTAGTAAGAAAAGCTTACAAGAAAGAGAGAGTGCAAAACGGAAGAGAGGGTTTCTAAAACCTGCTCCTTAATTAAAGAAAAACAAACTTATTTATAGGAAAAGAAAGCATCTTTGTATAGGATACTGGGCCCCTATCTGGGTCCTGGTAACAGTGTATCTACTGTTGAGCTACAGTGTTGCTACAGTAGTCCGGGCTTTTTACTGTTCCGTAAAAGCTTAACACTGCTACATCTTGTCCTTTAGTTTTGCCAAAAAATCTTCGGCTTTCTTCAGTGCATCTACTGGACTTTTTTCTTCATATGGTTGAGCTTCGCGCATATCTTCACTTGTTTCAATACGCATTGATGAATCTGATTTTGTGTAATGAGTTAGATTTAGAAGAATCTTTTTCTTTACTTCTTCTAGATACTTCATAATCATTTCATCTTGTTCTCCTTCATCATGATTAGAAATTTTTCTAGCCATATGTTTTATGGAGGTTGAATCATCAGTCATAATTTCTTTATTAGAAATCAATTT